CCGCGAAAAAAATCGTCGAAACTCAATTCGGCCGGCGGAATATTGCTTTTAACGTTATTCAGGGGTTTGCGCGTTAATGCCGAAACGCAATATTAATGTAACAACGTCACACGTGCCGATAATGGCTCTTCTGTATATTATACTGATCCGATAATGTATAACTGATTTACCTTACTACCCCATAATTTTGGAAAAATCTTATCGGTCGCGAACGAAATTCTATCGCGTAATCAGCGCGTAAACATAATTTAAAGCTTTCGCTCGACGAATGACCGCGCGCCACCTGATTCTCGCAATAATTTCGCTGAATCCATCGGATAAACCTTGCGCAAGTACGACTATTTTCCTCGAATTTTTAGATTCGTAAGAAATATTTATTTTCTCGACACATTCTTTGAAATGTATAGGTTATACATTTATTTGTCCATTACAAAACCATCCGGATAGAAATAACGATAAATACAATAATTGTATTCCGTCAAAAACTTTCTCTGAATTCGATAACGTTTGCACCCCTTTCCTCTCGATCAGTGTCGCCAAAGATATAACACGAAAAGGTTATAAATTCGCATTCTTTTATCACGGAAGATCTTTCGTTTCCAAGTGCTTCGTAACATTTCAAGAATCACTTCCCGCCGGCACACGTTTCGCCGCTTAATTTCGCGAGATTTTGTGTTTACTTGTCAACGGCGCATCGTTGACCTTAAGCGCGTCGCGTCGTCGGCGCGCGGATTGACTAATGGTGCCCGGCATCCTTTCGCTATAAGCCTGTAGCATTTAAATTGCGCAGAATTTGCGGCAGGATAATCCTACGACGGACCACCGGTTCATTGCATTTCGTTATTACTGTTATGTCACTGGCCGATGCGTCTTGTGACATTTCCATTCCGTTCTCGCGTCGGCCTTTCGTTTACACCTGAAAACTCTAACCTCAAAAAGGAAATATGAGCTTTCTCAAGATTCTCTCGCAATTGAATGGAATTGCAGCCCGGCGATGCCTTTCGACGAAATTCCACCGAAGGAACATAGGATAGGATACGCTCATTGTTCTTTTCTTGGCCGTATCTTCTTCCTCGAATCGACTCCGTCGTTCCAATCTGGCGAGATTAAAAACAAGCCGTTCGAACAGCTTCGTTAGCGATCCCGTCGCGATTGCATACAATCAAAATTAACAGAATTCGAGTGGCGAAGAGCATAGGACGGGCGTGAAATGAAGAACGGAATTATCATAACAATTACGACGGACGACGCGCGGTTGCGTCACGGTATGCTCGTGTCGACACCTTTTTCAACGAGGTAGGACAATTGCGAGGGAATAACGCGCGACACCGATGAGGATCCCGAATGCCATCGTACGTACACGCCCGTTCCGTTCTGGATTCCGATTGTCGCATTTTTCGCATCATTTCGTTCATTCTGCGATCAATATTCCACGTTCATTACGAAGCTGACCAACGTACGCATTTAGATAATCTGTGTACGATTCGAATGTCTCGTTTATTTTGTCTCCCATTTTGATTTGTGTAATATAATAACGAGTATTTTTTATTTTCTAAAGAATTAAGCATAGAACTGTTTAATGGCAATGATGGTGACATAGGCATATATAATTTAATTCGTAATCGAAATTAAAATATTTTAAAATGAAACGTTGTCTCAACATATGCAATTTAATTTGTATTCAAAATTGAAATATTTTGAAATGACATGTCGCTTCGACATATAGAATTTAATTGGTAATCAAAATTGAAATATCTTAAAATAAAATAATTGTTTCAAACGGAACGTTGCTTCAACATTTCAAACTGTAACTCATACTCAAATTGGAAAATCTTAAAATGAAACGTACATAGCTTTGTTTGTACAAAAATGAACACTGAGTAGACAAAAATATTAAATGGAGAAACGTATATACGATTCAGCAATTCTTTATCAATTCTGCGAAATATGAAATCACCGTATATGTGAAATTTTAAACAATATTACATAAGAGGAAAACATTGCTGATAGTTCCGAGTTTATATAGTTTTACTGTAAGTTTGTCGTCCAATGCTGTTTCTGATTCGAAGTCATTGCGTAACTGAATGGCTTATGATTGGAGCGGCATGAATTTATGGTACATCCAAGTGTGCACATCAGCTGCATATTCATGTACATGTGACAAGTATCGAAATTTCTGATGCAAGTTATGTTCTATATTATGATTAAATTCGATTGCGATACGCATGTTTAAATTTGTATTGCATTTCTAACTTCTTTCGCGTATGTATGATTGCACAACAAAATTACATTTGTATCGTGTACCTACTTTCACAAGATTATTAAAAATCATATTTTATTTAATAATTTCAATCGAGTATTGGTTCTAGCTGAATTATTTGCAGATTTTCTATCGATTCTTTGCTTATTCAGAATGATATTTAACATTTACCTTTTACAAATTTCTCACAAATTCATATCAATACAGTATCAATATCAATTCACAATTTCACACGATCAATACTACAAACTTGTTTATATTCATTGAATTCAACGAGACAACAAAAGATATTACACATATTTTAAGTATTTCCTATTATTACTTTTCACATGCAAGTCATGTGCAAAAATTAAACAAAGAGTTCAACAGCCGTTGAAACGCGAGCAATTAAACTGACGAACAAATCTTCATAAAGTCACTGTGGCCTTATCGAACATCGAACAGCCAACAGAACGAAATCATCGGTTACCGCATCATCCCTCGTGATCGTTTGACATTATGAATGGAAGACGCGTCTCCGCGTCTCTCGTCCTTTCATAATCCGTCTTATTACACGTTTCAAAGGACAAGTGGACGCGGCGTCATTACCAGGACTGCAATTCTTCCTTCATTTCGTGCAACACTTGTGAAACGTTGCCTCTGCACTTTGTCGTCTTGTCAGCCTAGCTGGGGTAATGACAGGTCCACGGATCAATTAGCATTTCAACCGCGGCTGTTCGCTCGTACGAGCAAGATTCTTTTCAGTGATAAGTAGACCGCGAATTTTTATACATTTATGGAAAATTCTGAAGCGCAGTATCGCGCGGAATGCATGCAACACGCAAAAATATATAAAACATCTAACGTATAGTGCTTTTTATGAAACTTGTTGATACATTGCGGATTTCGTTGTCTTCTTTTATTTCTTTTGTTTTCAGTATTACTGAGTTACGATTAATCGAAAGTCGAAAATCGATGTTATATCGAATATGTAACTTCAAGGAACATTTTAAATTTAAATTTAAAATTTTCACTTGTTTAATCTATGCGCGAAATATGAGATACTCGTCATCCCTTGGTAATATATATGTCATAAAAAACCATTCTTTTATTGCAATTCTATTTCTCGAGTCACATTCTTCAAAATTTGGATTTGCATTGAGATCTGTAGTCTGGTGATAATCCATTCAATTAAAACCATTTTCAACTTATTTGCGGTTTATTCAAAGTGAAGTTTAATCTATTTTCAATGAAACCCATTTTGAATTCTATTTCCGATTTAATCAAAATTGAATTTAATCTATTTTCAATGAAATCCATTTTCAATTCTATTTCAAATTTAATCAAAATTAAATTTAATCTATTTCCAATTTAAATCATTTTCAATTCTATTCGTCCAATTACACTCTTAAAAATTTGAAATTGCATATCCACAGCCTAGTGATAAGGTTCGCGTCGCGAGAGTCGTGAAACGATCGCGCATGCTTCAGGCGAGGATTACTCGGGCCTTAAAGGGGAAAGAACGGTCGAGAGAAAGAGAGGAAAACGGTTACAAGCGCGTCCGCTAGAAATCATCTTCGCGGGACTCCTTTCCTCGTCTACCACCGATCATCCTAGCCCGACGTCGCTTGGCCTTCTGCGCCTTCCCATTGTCTGAGACCGAGTACACGACACGTAG